CTTTTAATTATAAAGGAAGTAATAAAATTAAGTATAAAAAAAGTAAAAAAGTTATTTTAAATACTATAAAAGACCTAGCCCTTTTTATCTTAACTAGTAAAATAAGGTATACTAGAATAGTTAATTCTAACTAATATAATCCTCCTTATATAATAATAAAGATAAAGTTAGTTATATAATAATAAATAATAAAAAAAAACCTTAAATAATAAATCTAGAATTAGTAAAAGAAAATTAAAGCTTAGTAATAATAAACTAAAAAGTAAATATAATAAAATAATCTCTAAACTTCTAATTATTAGTCTCTTTACCTTCTTATTTATACTTTTAGGCTTATTCCCTTATTAGAGTACCCTTAGTTACTTCTACTTTTACTTTTTCTATTATAACTAACTTTATATTCTTAGCCTTTTTTTTAATATATTATCTTATAATCTTTACTACTCTTCTTTTATTAGCTTCTTTTAACTTAAGCTAATTCTTTAGGTATACTTTATTTAACTTTTTAGTCTTTAAGCTTATTAGATTTTAGAAAGTATAAATAGTAAATTTAACTTTATTTTATATATTAGTAATAGTTAAACTATTTAAAATAAAAGGGATTATTATATAAGAAGGTGTTATTAGGTAAGCCTCCTTAAAAGGTCTTTTTTCTAATATATTAATCTATATTAACTATAAAATATTAATAATCTAGAAAAAGAGGATTACCTCTTATTTAATAACTTCCCTTATCTAATTCTTATACCTTAATTAAGTTAATACTAACTCTCTTTCTTTATTAAGGAAATAAATATAATATTAGTATTTTTTTTAATATTATAAATATTAATATATATTTATAATAAATATATTCTTAAAAAGGCTTTCCTTAAAGTCTTCTCTTAACTATTAGTCTAAAATATAGATATCTTTAATAAGTTTACCTTTTATAATATCTTCTTACCTTATAACTTTTATCTCTTATACTTATTTTATTAGCCTTAATAGTAACTATAAGGATTATAATATTAAGAACTTTTATAAGTTAGTTAAAATATAGTTTTACTAATTAATAACTAATTAAGAATTTATAAAAAATAAAGAGTCTATAGTCTTAACTAACTTTATATATTATAAAGGTAGATACTAAGTAGCTAACTATCTTTACCTTAATAATATAAGACTTAATAGCCTTTTCTTCTTTAGTTTAAGAGGTCTTATAACTTTAGGTATTACTAAAGGTAATATATTTATAGTTTTAGAAGAATTTATTAGTTAGAATCTAAGCTTTATTTAAGTTATTAGTAAAAGGGTTTTAGATATTTTTAGATTATAAAATAAAAAATAAACTTTAGATCTAATTAGGCTTTTTACTAATCTTAAAATATTATCTTTAATAAAGATATTAGTTAAAATAAGTATATCTTCTTTAGATAAGGTATTTTAATTAATATTAATTATATATAATCTTATTTTCTTAGTTAGAAAATTACTATTTAAGAGTTTTTTAATACTAGAAGGGTATTTAAGGTTAAAATTAGGTAGTAGGGAATAGGTATAAGGATTATTTATAATTTTATACTATTCCTTACTTATATTATCTAAGAAAATACTAATCTAATATTTAAGGCACTTCTACCTTTAGTTAAAAGAGTAAAGATAACTAAAGATAAAGTAAATATTTATAACTACTTTTTAGATTTTAAATATAATATATTTAAAGAATATAAATATAAGTAATTCTTTCTTTTATAAAATTATTACTTTTATCTCTAGTTTATTAATAAATATATATTATAAAACTATATCTTATAATACTTAATCCCTAACCTTATCTTTAAAGAGGCTATTTTAGTTAACCTAGTAAAGTTCTAAGTTAGTCTTAATAAATAATACCTAGAAGACTAGATCTTTATATTTTATTTTTATTTTACTAATTTAGATATTTAACTTATTACCTTATTATTTTTTAAGAAGTTTAGCTAATATATTATTAAAATAGCCTCTTAGTAATAATATTATATTATAAATAGTAAGATAGTTATAAGACTAATTATTAACCTATTTATTAGTTAGTAGATAAATTATAAAAAATAAGTAAAGAAAATAAAGGTTAATAAGCTATTATTTAAATATTAGTCTAATTACCTTTATTTTATTACCTTTTCTTTTATAAATAGTATTAAAATACTAAAAGGTTTTTACTTTTTTATTAAATACTACTATAGCTTAATATATTTTATTATATAAGTTTTTATAAGATAAAAAATTAATAAGACTAACCTAAAACTTAATACCTAATAGTTTAGTCTATTTTAGCTATTAACTACTAAAGTAATATTTAAATAATACCTTTCTTTTTATAATCTCTTAATTAGTATTAAGTCTATTATAAACTTTTTATAAAACTCTTATTATAAAAACTAGGTATCTTTTAATTATAAATTTAAAAAAAATAACTATAATAAAGTTTTTAAGGCCTTAAACTATAATCTTAAGTATTACTAAAAGTCTTAATCTCTTAGCCTAGTTAAAGTCTAGAAGTAATTTATATAATTAGTAATATATAGTAATATATTATTTTAAATCTTTTATTAGAATATTAAAGAAGTTTAAGACTTTTTTAAAGGATTTCTGAATATCTTTATATTATAAGGTTTTATTATTAGGAGGTTATATTAGTTTATCTTCTAGCTAGATAGCCTTTAAAAAGAAAATTAGTAGTAGTTATAAATAGAGTTCTAAGATTATAAGCTTAATTTTTATTATTTCTTTTTAGAAATAATATTTCTTATTAT